ATCACATAATTAGACATTACAGAGTTAATGCTGTACATGCAAATTACACAATTTTAGCAAAATTGTATTTGTAAAGAAATTATATTAGCATTCAGTAAAACAAGAAGTGAAATAATATAAATAGAGAGTTATGATCGCTTCAGGGTTCACTAGACACTGAGAGCTGTGGTGAACGGGATACATTTTTTTCACATGCTCAGTTAAATTGTCTAGGTTAGTGGTGAGTATCTAAATTGACGTATCCTTGGAGTTTTACAGCTGCTTTTTTCTGGTTCATTTTGTCACAACACAAAAAAATTTTTATTTTCATTCTGCTGAATAAAGACGTACTGGGTTCCTTCATTGACTTGCCAGTTTTCTGGCTGTGACAGCCTTTTCATTAGGTTTGAACATTGTTAGGAAGTTTGGTGACATACATGTTTTTGTGTTACCTCACATATTTAACAAGGTGGAAAGGTGGGGGCATATACTAAAATACAACACATCCACCTCCAAAATTTCAATTACATATGACCAGATTTCCTTTTTTGTACCCCGTTAGGTATTATTAGGGGATGTTCATCAAGCATTTTGTAGCTGTAGAGTGTGGTCTGACAACTGTTTGCTGTTCTACAACTATCTATCGGTATGGGGCACTACACTCATCCATCTAACCTTTGGTTCTTCCATATAAAGACCACAAACCAGCCAAAAATATAGTTCCACGCTATGTACACTCATATTTACACCAACCTTATTCTTTAGTGGCAGCAGCTTACACATAAATTCTTATATGTTATGGTTGCATTCATTTTCTTTTTTAGGCTTTCTCTCTTCAATTGTTATCTGGTGATCCAGCCGTTAAGTCTATTTTTCAAAAGAACAAGCTGTCCAGCAGAATGCATGAGCTACAGAGATGAGACAAACCATTTGACACTGGCAGGGGTGCTTACATCATCTTTTATTTATTTAAGTAAAACCTTTATCATAAAATGCAAAAAAAAAAATAGTTTGTATATGGAATGTCAGTGAGTGCTATGGGTGTGTAGAAAGGTATAAGCTGTTGGCATTAAAGGACCCGCCCTTGGTATCCTCACTAGTGACTGAAAATATAAAAGGTGCAGCGCTAAAGTAATGAATGAATCAAATGAAATACTTCTAAAACGTGCATATATACATAAATAAATAATAAGGTGAATAGAAGCAGCAATAAAATTAATAGCAGCAATATTAAAAGGCAGACATAGTGAGGCGCTCTGATCAGCGCTACCAGTCTAAAACGCGAGAGTTCATGAGTTATTAATATAGTAATAATTAATATACTGATAAGTGTGGTAATGGTATCCGTGACACTGAGTGGTCAGCGTGGGTGATATAAAATTAATAGTGACTGATAGTGAACATATATCAAATGACACAATTGCGATAAACAATAGTTATAAGAAAGTCCAGAAAATAAATCCGTGAACAGGTGACATCCAGTGCTGATGAATCCATGAAAAGTATTCCTTTATATGCACTCACCAGAAGCACATATAAAATGCGCATGAACAGTGGGTTTCTTCCCCAGGTAAGTCAGGCAGCACACCCATCAGTCATAGGACCATGAAGGCCAGGATCTCACATAGGGATGATCACACCAAGCAGCATGCAAACCGTGATGAGAAATCCTGAGGGGTTAGCTCACAAAAGAGCCAGAGAATATCGGCTAATAGTGTAGTACTTTATTAAAGGTACAGAGTATCCACGTGGAAAGTACAAACAAACAGTATAAAACAACTCACTAAGATGGCTGCCGGACCTTTGTGTGGCCCTGGAAGCGTGACGTCAATGCGCAGGCTCCTTCCCTTAGGGACGGAGCCTGCACATTGACATCACGCCGCCGGGGCGGCACGAAGGTCTGGTGGCCATCTTAGTGAGTCCTTCCCTTAGGAGTCATGTTTTAGAAGTATTTCATTTGATTCATTCATTCCTTTAGCACTGCACCTTTTATATTAAAAAAAAAATAGTTTGCTGCAACTGCTTGAAAAGCGTTAGCTGGAATTTGGCTTCAATTTCTTAGTGTATTAAAATCTGCTAGTACATCTAACACTCCTCTCCCCCAGACTGACAATGCTGCTCTCCAAAGGTGCCCCCTGTGCTTTTTCATCCAGAGTGAGGGCTCTCTAATACAGGAGTTGTGTTACTGGTCAGATCACCAGGTGAAAACAGAGGAGAAAAAGCCTACAAAATCAAACTGATGCAGCCACCACATCTAATGATTGGTAAGCTGCAATGTATTACATTTTTGGTTTTAGGTTTAATACCTCTTTAATGTTAGTAGAACACATTGTGCTGCCTACACCATCACTTTATGATGACTTGTCACTTGATCATTGAAGCTAGGAGAATATGGATATGGGGACTTCTATTTTCCATTAGCAATAATAGCAGCTGGTAATCTGACAACTATGAGCTGTTGGAGATGAAAGACCAAAAATATTTTTTTCTTTTAGGCTTCAACATGCCACCTGAAATTTTAGTATTTGTGAACATCAATACCATGGCATGACAATAAATCTGGGTTTGGGTATCCATCCATTTATGGCACACAGACTAATGGTATCACACCTACTGGTTTAAAGGACTGAGAACTGCTTCCCATTTTATTTCCAGTCATTTAAAACTTTTGCACTGTCTGGAGATGAGTAAATCAGCCTGGGTCAGGCTCACAGGTCATTTGTCAAACCTATTTTAAAGTACAACAATTCTGAACTTTAATTTGAACCTTATTGAATCAGTTCTGGAAATTTTCAAGGCTCATAGGCAAGGGATTGTCAAGTAAAGGGCATGAGCACTGCTATGGGGACAAGTACCAATTAGGGATGACCTTCAGGTTTAGTATGAAAATGTGTTTGAGGTTCGGGTGGGGAAAACTAGTCAAGTATGGCAGATAGGCTGGGTTCTGGTCAGACTGATATTTGTAAAAAGTTTCTACTGTATGTTTGTAAGATATATCCCCAGTGCTGCTGGAATATTAACAACAGGGGTGGGGAATTGGGGATGACATCATTGGCCAAATGTGTCAATGCCAATGATCCCTGCCACCGAGTTACAATCCAGAAGCACCGGGAAGCTGTAATTTGAGATGGGAGTAGTTATATAGTTAATCTGGTTGAAAAAAAAGACACTAGTCCATCCAGTACAGCCAACAGCGTAGTAGCAGGACAGCATCATCATGGCAGAGAGTCAACAATGTCAGGCACCACAGGGGCGGACTGACAACTCATGAGCCCCCAGGCAATAGGGGATCATGGGGCCCCTGTGTCCTTGCCCACACTCAAAAAAGCCTATAAAAAGGTACCAGGGGCATTTCATGGGGCCCCCTACTGACCCTGGGCCCTCGGTCAGTCCCTGATTGCTCGAATGGTCAGTCTGCTCCTGGGCACCCACTAATGATTGATTGGATCTACATCACTAGACAATGTGATTGATGTTTATTTTATAATTTGTAGTAAAGGACTTTCTCAAAGGTGCAGGTGTTTTTATTTGCTATTTGCCTTTTTTTTTGTGTGGGTTCCCACTCCATGTCAGTTAGTGTCAGAATGCCCGCCGCACTAACACAATCCTGCTACAAGTCCCTGATTGCTGCCACTACTAGTCTAAGAAAGAAAAATTCCAGTATATACACTGTCAATTGTAGATGCTATAACTTTTACACAAAACAATTAATATACACTTACTGCGATTTTTTTTAACCAAAGACATGTAACAGAATCCATTTTGACCTAAATTTATGGAAACATTTTATTGTTTTTTATTGGATATTTTATAGCAGAAAGTAAAAAAATATTTTTTTTTTCAAAAATGTTGTCTTTTCTTGTTTACATAATAAAAAACCCAGTGGTGATCAAATACCACCAAAATAAAGCTCTATTTTTGTTGAAAAAATGATATACATTTCATTCCATTATTGAGGTTGGCCATACACAATGCAATCTCTCTTTTACTAGCTTATATGATGATGATGAAACATAAGGAAGGTAATAATGTTTATTATGACATTTTCCTCTTCAGAGCCATTAGGAACTATTGGATTTAAGCTTGTTGTTATAGATTCAGATACATGTATATGGTGACTCTTCCCAGATTCTTTATTCATTGCACATATTTATTCTCCAGGAGTTTTACTACTGTATTTTCCGGCGTATAAGACGACTGGGTGTATAAGACGGCCCCCTACTTTTCCTGTTAAAATATAGGGTTTGGGCTATACGCACCGTATAAGACTACCCTCTTCCAACGCACACCAAAAATTAAAAAACATCAGATTTGATTTCAATATGGTATGGTATTCCAATGATGGGGCACGCTTCCTCACTCTGACACCAATGATGGGGCACTATTCCTCCCACTGACACCAATGATGGGGCACTATTCCTCCCATTGACACCAATGATGGTGCCCCATCATTGGTGTCAGAGCAACGAATCGTGCCCCACCATTGGTGTCAGTGGCAGGAATAGCACCCCATCATTGGTGTCTGTGGGAGGAATAGCGCCCCATCATTGGTGTCAGTGGGAGGAATCGTGCCTCATCATTGGTGTCAGAGCAATGAATCGTGCCCCATCATTGGTGTCAGTGGGAGGAATAGCACCCCATCATTGGTATCAGTGGGAAGAATCGTGCCCCATCATTGGTGTCAGTGGCAGGAATAGCACCCCATCATTGGTGTCCGTGGAAGGAATAGCACCCCATCATTGGTGTCAGTGGGAGGAATCGTGCCCCATCATTGGTGTCAGAGCAATGAATCGTGCCCCATCATTGGTGTCAGTGGAAGGAATAGTACCCCATCATTTGGTATCAGTGGGAGGAATAGCACCCCATCGTTGGTATCAGTGGGAAGAATCGTGCCCCATCATTGGTTTCAGTGGCAGGAATAGCACCCCATCATTGGTGTCCGTGGGAGGAATAGCACCCCATCATTGGTGTCCGTGGGAGGAATCGTGCCCCATCATTGGTGTCAGAGCAATGAATCGTGCCCCATCATTGGTGTCAGTGGAAGGAATAGTACCCCATCATTGGTGTCAGTGGGAGGAATAGCACCCCATCATTGGTATCAGTGGGAAGAATCGTGCCCCATCATTGGTGTCAGTGGCAGGAATAGCACCCCATCATTGGTGTCCGTGGGAGGAATAGCACCCCATCATTGGTGTCAGTGGGAGGAATCGTGCCCCATCATTGGTGTCAGAGCAATGAATCGTGCCCCATCATTGGTGTGAGTGGGAAGGAATAGTACCCCATCATTGGTATCATTGGGAGGAATAGTGCCCCATCATTGGTGTCAGTTGGGAGGAATAGCGCCCCATCATTGGTGTCAGTGGGAGGGAATAGCGCCCCATCATTGGTGTCAGTGGAAGGAATAGCACCCCATCATTGGTGTCAGTGGAAGGAATAGCGCCCCATCATTATTGTCAGTGGGAGGAATAGCGCCCCATCATTGGTGTCAGTGGGAGGAAATAGCCCCCATCATTGGTGTCAGTGGAAGGAATAGCGCCCCACCATTGGTGTCAGTGGAGGAATAGCGCCCCATCATTGGTGTCAGTTAGGTGTCAGTGGGAGTAATAGTGCCCCATCATTGGTGTCAGTGGGAGGAATATGTGTCCCAACATTGGTGTAAGTGGGAGGAATAGTGCCCCATCATTGGTGTCAGTGGGAGTAATAGTGCCCCATCATTGGTATCAGTGGGAGGAATAGTGTCCCAACATTGGTGTCAGTGGGAGGAATAGTACTCCATCAGTGGGGAGAGGAATAGTGCCCCATCGTTGGTGTCAGTGGGGGGAGGATTAGTGCCCCATCGTTGGTGTCAGTGGGAGGAATAGTGCCCCATCGTTGGTGTCAGTGGGAGGAATAATGCCCCATCATTATCAGTGACACCAATGATGGGGCACTATTCCTCCCACTGACACCAATGACACTTGCTGACTCCTGTTCTAGTATGGTACTGCTGCAGCCAGCATATGTGGTTGCAGCAGCACCTCTGCACTGCACACTTACCCTCACTCGATTTTTGCGGGGTCCGCTCGGCTCCGCCTCCGTGATTGGCCGCCTGTGTGCCTTTCCTGAGCTACAGTTCTGGTGGCCAATCACCGGTGAGGAGGCGGAGCCAAGCGGCAGGAGTGAGGGAGTGGCCGGAGTGACTGAAGGAGCAGCGCTTCCTGGATGGATCGTTGTGGGAGCCAGGTAAGAGACTGCAGCCCTCTGCCCACCCCTGTACTTGATGTCCCTTCCGTCGGAAGGGGGGGATAGCAGCAGCACCGCGCTGCCCCTAAAAAGTGCCCCCTGACGTGTACCGGCGTATAAGATTTTCAAGGGTCAAAAAAGTCGTCTTATACGCCGGAAAATACGGTACTTATTATCCAACACCATCCAACATTGATGAATATATGAAGGAAGTGCAAAGACATTTCCAAGATTGGAGACCAATAGGAAATCAAAACTGTGAAGATATAACCATTCTGAATACTACTATCATGGACTCCCCAAGCATCATAAAAGAAGAATTTTCCTGTCCAGTACTTACTTTTTCCAGCCTTTTAAATTGGTGCAGCTAAGTGAATGCACAGAATGCTTTTTTTTTGTTTTTTGTTTTTACATTCACTGATTTTATTTTTGTGATTGACCGTGTGTACACCATGTTTATAATGCCAAACCTTCCCATGATCTACATGACCAAAATAAAATAATTAGCATCCACTAATGATGGTGATAATTTACTCCGCATAGGATTTATAATATACTGTCTTTTAATGGTAGGTCTGCTCTTTTCAGCTGCTAACCTTTTTCATATAAACTATAATTGGTTTAGAATCCACACCCAATATAAGGTGAGTCGGAGAAATTCTTCTTAGGGGTGGCTACACCCTTAATAATTGCACTTTTTCTTTTTGTATAAGAACTTATCCGTTAACCTTTTGTTAGCACTGACAGTCTTCAAATCTAGTTTACAAATGAGATCTTCCAGAACAGTACAGAGAGGATTAATTATGGTGCACATGCTCCTTAACATTGCATAGCAGAAGAATACTTTAGTTTTGGAGTTTTCAGAAAAGACCAAGTAAAACGTAAGTAGCAATTTAGTTTTTTTTAAAAGGTATGTTATGTGAATGGGAACATGTAAGAAATATAAAGTAGGTGTTATCCCAGTTAGGCTGTAAAAGTGGAAATGCATTACCTAAAGTCAGTGCTGAGTAGTCTTCAGATGCATCTTGTTACCTAGCACTTGGTCTATCCTGTGATTTCACACCCACCCGTCTCCAACTTGGTAGTCAGCTGCTCATCTGCTACTGATTTTGTCCAGTGCCCTAAACATCTTTATGCTTTGAAACTGGCTGCCAGTTCTACGACGCTGCTGTGTGCTGGTTTCCTTCTACACAGACATCATCACCAGCAAAGTTACAGTGGTGCCTGTGACACACTAACTGTTATCACACCTATGTAGCCGAACCCTAAGTTTAAAATTAACAAACATGCCTAATATACATTTTATACACTAATTGGCATCTTATAAATGTAGGAGGAAGATATGATCTAGTGAAATCATGGTTATAATAATGTATACAGAAGATATTGGGTTAAGGTAATAATTACTTTTTTTTTTAATTTATCAGTTTCATAATGTTACCTTTTTCAGTTTTTGATTGTAAATCAGGCTTAAGAGTAGACAAAATAGAGTAACCATAATTAGCAGACTCTTATATGTTAGTACAACTGTCATTCTGTCTGCTGGGAGAGAGAGAGAAAAGAGAGAAATTTGCTTCTTAAAAATCATGTACATGCATTGCTATATTGAAACAACAAAGGAAATACATAATACTTACGGTGTTCTTGGTTACAGACGTTCTGTAAAATGTTTAAAACCATTGTCGGATTCAGGTATAGAGCCAACAAAGGGCGTGTACTGAACTCACAAACAATTATAGCAGGTCATTTCAAGCCTTTACCAGCTAAAGCTATAAATTAAATCAAAGGACACAAAGTACAGCAACCATTTATTTTGGGATATGAAGTTTAATGCAGTCTTTTAAATGCATTGTATCTCTTCTACTTGCTATGATGGCTACAGAAAAAAAAATATGACTATAAAACCATTGGAGTCTTTCCAGTAAAGATCATGTGGTCTTTTCGGTTTATATTTAGATATGAGACATAAAGAGATTCCAAACTTTTACAGTTTGTGAGTTGTATTAGTTGCATTAGGAACAGACAGGTTGGAAAAGTGTATCCATTGGCCGCTGAGTCAGCAATAGTGCAGATAACAAATCTTAGAATATACAACGATTAGGGGATGTTGAAAAATAAAAACGCACACAATTCTTTGCCTCTATATAAAAAATGGACACACGTTTGCAAGGATTAACATATCACATCATGCACACTTATTGGAGCAAATGTATGAAGCAGTGAATTTGACATTTACCAAACATTCACTGAATCAATTACTGTAGTTTAAAACACACAGTTTTGTGAAACAATGTTTGGTGAATGTCACAATTACCGCTTTATAAATATACCACTAAAGTGTCTATTATGAAGGTTGGCTGTATAATAATGTCTTACAGTTTGTTTAAATCAAACATTTGGGACAGTCTGTATATTCATATACTTAAACATGCATATACCTTCTGTGATATGCCAGGTGAATGCCACAAAATGTCATTTTGGCAGATAATTGTAAAAGATTTAATGAATGAATTTCCCAGTGAATACTGAGCTTTTGTGATGACGTATTCAATAATCTTTAGCGTACTACAGTGCTCAGCATAAATGAGTACACCCCAACAGATCTGTCAGAAAACCTTTACATTCCTTTTAGAATCAGCAGTTTCTATGGGACAACACTATACTACAAAATACTACTACAAATGCAGGCCATTGATTGCAAACAAAATTTGTGAATTTGCATACACAAAAAAGTATTTTTGCTAACTTTATTATTATTATACAGGATTTATATAACGCCAACAGTTTGCTCAGCGCTTTACAATATAACAGGAGACGATACAGCAACAATACAGTTCAATACAATAGGGATAGGAGGACCCTGCTCCTCGGAGCTTACAATCTAGGAGGGAAGGGCTAGTGGTACAAAAAGTAGTAACTGTGGGGGATGGACTGGTAGGAAGAGTAGAAGATTCTATTATTATCTGAGGGCAGGATAGGCTTCCCTGAAGAGATAGGTTTTCAGAGATCACCTTAAAGTGAGCAGAGTAGGCGATAGTCTGATAAATTGAGGTAGAGAGTTCCAGAGGATGGGGGAAGCTCTGGAGAAGTCCTGGAGACAAGCGTCAGAGGAGGAGACAAATTTATTCAAGACCATGTTGCAAGAATGACTACACCCCAATGAAAGTCTTAGAAGCAAAGCTAAATTTTAGACAACAAAATCCTAATGAACAAGAAATCAACTATAGGTGAGTCTAATTATTTATTAAACAGGTGTCCAGCAGACAGTTGATTATAAAAGGCATTACTTAATAAAGAAAACCCCTTCCCATTTTATGCTGTCGGCAATGGCACCACATGGAAGAGAAAAGTCACAAGGCCTGAGAAAGAAAATATTTCTTTACACAAGAAAGCTGAAGGCTACAAGAAGATCAGCAAAGCTCTACTTATCAATCAGAATACTGTAGCAAAAGTGATACAAAATGTAACAAAGCTGAAACTGCATCCATCTGACAGAGATGTCCAGGCTGTCCACGGAAGTTAACACCTAAACAGGAGCATCTTCTGATGAGAAGGGTTAAAGAAAATCACCATGCAAGTTCACTGCAGTAAGCTAAAGAAGTAGAAAGCCAAACTGGGGTGATTGTTTCCTGTGACACAATACAGCATACACTGCAGAGGAAATGGCATGCATGGATGTCCACGAAGGAAGCCTCTCCTAAAGCCCACACAAAAAAAAACCCACCTATAATTTGCCAGGGCCCATGCTGAAAAAGACTCTGTACTCTGGAGTGATGAAACCAAGATAAATGTTTTTGGAACTGTTGGCTTCAAAACTGTAAGGCGTCGCAAAGGTGAGGAGTACAAAGAAAAATGCATGGTGCCTACAGTGAAACATGGTGGTGGCAGTGTCTTTCTGTGTAACTGCATGAGTGCTGCTGGTGCCAAGGAGCTGCATTTCATTGATGGTATCATGAATTCACAGATGTAATGCTCTATATTGAAAGAGAAGATGCTACCATCACTCCGTGGCCTTGGTCGTCGTGTCCAACATGACAATGACCCAAAACACACATCTAGGGCCACTGCTTCATTTCTGAAGAAGAACAGGAAGAAAGGTATTCCATGGCCAAGTATGTCTCTTGATCTGAACCCGATCGAACACCTATGGGGAATTCTGAAGAGACAAGTTGAGCATCGCTCTCCATCCAGCATCCAGGTTGTAAAAGAGGTCGTTCTTGAAGAATGAAAAAAAATTGATGTTGCAATATGTCGCCAACTTGTTAATTCCATGCCTAGAAGACATAGAGGTCATACAAAATACTAGATGTAGTAGTTTTTGTTATGGGGTGTATTCATTTTTGCATCAACTAATTTGAGTAAAACTGAAGATTTTATTATTAATCTTACTTTCAAGTAATGAGCTAAACAAATGTTCTATAAAACTCATTTTTTTTCAAAATTATGGAAATTGTTCTTGTGTTCATTGAGATATTGATTAAAATCTTACTTTTGAAAAGGGGTGTACTCATTTATGCTGAGCACTGTATTTATGTATGTCTTGACACACTCAATATACTGTATGCATTCTATAAAGTGAAACTATGGTGAAAATTGCTATATTGTATTGATATGATATTTTTGGTTGTTTACATGATCATATCAGAGCTAGCTTCTGGCTGGTGATATGTGATATATGAAGAGTGTCATTTTTGATGTTCATTGATAGAGGAGGGGATTATTATTTCTAAGGGGGAGATTTACTAAAACTGGAGCACTCAGAATCTGGTGCAACTGTGCATGGCAGCCAATCAGCTTCTAACTTCAGCTTGCATTTTCCAGTTTTTAGTAAATTTCCCCCTAAGTGTTTCTATAAAACTATTCTATAGAGTATGGCCTTGAGGCAGGCTGGGGCTGCGAGGCGGGTAGAACTATGATATGATGCTTATTGCGATTGGAGATTGGATCAGTATGGATTAAGAGGAGTCATCTCACATCTATTTATGCTATTGGACATCTGTAGTCCGGTAAGGTGCATGATTTGGAAGGTGGTGGAGAGTGATTTTTTTTCGTTTTACTACGTGGTGTTGAAAAGGGGAGCACTTACCACATGTTTAAAGGATGATACACTATGATGCATTTTTTTTGGAGGTATCCCATATAAGGAGGATGATGCTTCCATAGAATTGGCCGTGAGTGGATCCTTATGGGGAATGAGACGTAAAACTATATAAAGTATTTTTTAGGGTAAGAGTATTTAATTTAGCCATATTCAGTGGACACTGGGTGATTTCATATACATTTTGAACACAAGTGCACCTTGCTAATTGATTTTGTTTATATATTTATGAGGATAATGCACTATATGTAGCCAATCCTCAATCTACAGCACAGCCCCTAAGCCTTATCACCTATAGCAAAAAGCAATAAACAACACAAGAACAGCTGTAAAAATAGAGCAATGCCTGGCAACCACCAAATCAGCTCCACCATCTTGGGAGACCTTGGACTATAAAAGTCCAGTCTACCAGATATTATCCATAGCCAGCAGTCTCTGTTGCTCATGTTAGCTAAAACCAACAGAAAGAGGAGAGACATAATTTCCAACATTCTATTGTTGACATTTCAGCTGTCAGTGGGAGAATTATGCTCACAGCTGAAAGAACAGAACTTAAAGATATTGGTTAAACGTAATCGACAATTTCTCACAAGCAATAAATCTGTTGTGCCCAATACAAAATATATATGTAAAAAAAGATATATATATATATATATATTTATATATAAATTAATTTTTTGAAAGCAGCTAACACAAACCACATACTCATAACATGTGCGTGAATCCAAAACATAACGTGGTGATTATCAATAAAATATAAATAAATACACATCAATTGAAAAAAAAGTCTCTTAACCTCTCTGGAGGTATTCCTGAGTGTAGCTCAGGGTAAAGTTTCAGCACCACAAGTGGTACCCCTGAGCTACACTCGGGGGAATACCTTGCAGCGTTGCTCCGGGATCCCTTCTGCACTTACCTTGTCCTGTGCTCCCGAGATGTATCCCCTGCAGTGTCCCCGGCCATCTCCTCCGGCCGATGCTGGCATCTGTCTTCTGGGTTCCGTTCCCTGCGACGTCAGGACGTACGGGGGACGCAACCGGCGGGAAATTTAAAAATGTCACAAAGTGACATTGACATTCACTAAATACACTAAAATCACATAGTAAAACATTACTGTATCAAAGCATTTCACATACATTTTGTCCCTAGTGCTTTGTCCTGTGCCCTGCCTGCATTTTTACTGTTCTTTCTGCCTGGAAACTGAGAAATGTCCATGGCGTCCAAAAAGCGTCCCTTTAGGTCAAAAGCGGTTTTAGACCAGCTAGAGAACAGCGATAGTAAGTTAGAGCTACTTGCAGAAATGAGTGATAATGATTCGTGGGTAAATTCGTCATCAGACACTGAAAACGATTTTGCGACTTTGCTCAGTGATGTGCGAACTTGGCGCTATATTTCAAATTTCAGTGTTTTTGGTTTGATTATATTATTGAATTAAATTTATTATTATATTATTATTTTTTATGATTATTTATTAAATTATAATTTATGATTTTGTGTTTAAAATTTTATCATACCCGGGATGTTCGGACAGATTTCAGTGAGTTATTCCTAAAAATTACAGGCCTACAATAAAAAAAAACAACATATTTCCATGCAAAAAAATGTACTGCTGTGAGCACAGAAATACTGACATAATCAGACTGCTAGGGAGGCTACTAGTGATTTATTCAACTTGAATATGTTTAAAAAATTCTTTATATCTTCATACACCTTAATCCTCCACCATAAACCACCAGATGTGCCCTCACCTAGAGTATTTGACCTTACATCATGTTAGGTCAAAAAACGCATGTGTCCCCTGAAGTGGCCATGAACTGGAAGGTATACCCGGAGTATGGATTCTTCTCCAGAGAGCAACACTCTCTTACTCTCTCCTCCTCCACTCAGTATAAATGATGAAAAAGATAGGGAAATACAATAGTGCTTTATCCTTAACCACCTCCCATCCGGCCAATGTATATAAACATCCGGACGGTGGCAGTGCATGGTCTGGTGGCCGTATATAAACGGCTTTCCCGGCCTCCTGCTTGTGTGCGCTCCCTGGGAGCATGCAGCACCGCGATCCAGTGCCTGCTGTGTCCTCTGGACACAGTGAAACACCGATCAGACGGGACGGGTCAGACGGGACCTCCGTGCGAGGTCCCGATCATGTGATCACTGATTAGCCAATCAGTGATCACATGCAGAGTAGCAAGCAAGATGTCACTTGTGACATCATTGCTTACTATGTGTGAAATCTGTGAATGATCACAGAGGTCACATGGTACAAGGCTATTCACAACAGCCTTGTACCATGTGACAAGCTGTGACTAATCACAGCTCACTCAGCAGTTCTCAATGGCTGCAAGAATGCAGTCAGAGAGAAGGAGAAATTATTGCTTTTACATCCTTTAGGGGTGTGGAAGCAATCAGTGTAAAAAAAAAAAAAAAAAAATCTTCATCACCCCCCACAAGTAGTACACTGTACTGCTAGGGTGAAAGTATGTAAAAAAAAAAAAAATAATAATAATAAAAAAAAAAAATTATAATTTTTAGTTATAAACTAATTTGGGTTTTTTTTTGCTAAAAATATAATGGAATAAATTTTGGCCAAGATTTATGATGAAATAATATTTATTTGCAAAATTTTATAAGAAAAACACTTTTTTTCAAAATTTTTGGACTTTTTAATTTACATAGCAAAAAAAAAAAAAAAAAAATCCCAGTGGTGAATAAATACTACCAAAATAAAGCTTTATCTGACTCACAAAAATGCTAAAAAATTCATATGGGTACAGTGTTGCATGACTGCGCAATTGTCATTCAAAGTGTGATAGCGTTGAAAGCTGAAAATTGCCCTGGACAGGAAGGAGGTAAAACTGTCCGGACAGGAAGTGGTTAAAAACACTCAACTTTATTAAAACATAAAAGTGGCCACTCACATTGTAGGGGCGCTACATTGCACCAGATATAATGTGCATATAAACCAACCAGCGTTATTTGACAGGAATGTAAAGAAATCCTTCAGTCATCTGCTCTGACCATGTCAATGAATCGGTATGTAGTGAGCGTCGTGATGTCATCAAGCCCTTATCCTACGCGTTGCACCACGGGTCACGTGGCTTCCGGGGAAATTTTAATTAATTAATTTTTTATTGATGCATGTTCACCACATACTTTTAATTTTGTATTTGTTTTGGTTTACATATATTGCAAGAAAGCGCAGCACTGTATTTTTTATGTTAAAGGTATTGGTTTTTAGTATCAGAGCATTTGCACAAGTACTGATACTGAGACAAATGCTCAGTATCGGCACCGATACTGGTATCGGTATCAGTGCAACCCTACTGCTAGCATTAGTAAATAGATAGGAAAGTATATCATACTTACTTATTTCAAACATTTATTTAAAATTTCTTCAGTTACTTCCTGGTTTCCATGCCTAGGCAAATGATGTCATATATCCCAGGAGTCTTCAGGAGGGGAGGGAGGGTTCTCATATTAGCCTATGCTTGAGTAAGGGCAGATGGATTCCTGGAAGTAAATGATACATGAATCATCTACCCTTACTCAAGATGGCCACTGCCAGAAATGCCAGGGGGGTGTTTTTCAAAAATTTTTCTGCAAAATAATGCATGGAGACACAGATGGATGGGTGAGTTTGCTCTGAATATTACAAATTAATTAAATAGCATTTTTGGTTTGTGGAGCTCAGATGCAGTGCAGTTCCACTTTAACAATGAACTCCATTGAAATCTATAAGGGTGGGGGCATGATACTAAATTCTGACCATTTCAAGGCTAATAGGCAAATAAAGCATGAGGGCTGGGCACCGCCATGACTGACATTTTAAAGAACAAAAGCAATTAACCATTTCCAGACCAGACACTTTTACCCCCTTCCTGACCAGGGCAATTTTCAGCTTTCAGCGCTATCACACTTTGAATGACAATTGCGCGGTCATGCAACACTGTACCCAAATGAATTTTTACCATTTTTTTGAGACAGATAAAGCTTTATTTTGGTGGTATTTATTCACCGCTGGGATTTTTATTTTTTTTGCTATGTAAATGAAAATGTCCAAAAATTTGAAAAAAAAAGTGTTTTTTTTTATACAATTTTGCAAATAAATAATATTTCATCATAAATCTTGGCCAAAATGTATTCCGTTATCTTTTTAGTAAAAAAAAAAATCCAAATTAGTTTATAACCACAAATTATAATTTTTAAAACATTTTTTTTACATTTTTATTTTATTTTTTTTATAATATTATTATTATTTTTTTTTTACATACTGTCACCCTAGCAGTACAGTGTCACCATGGTGACACTGTACTACTTGTGGGGGGTGATGAAGATTTTTTTTTTTTTTACACTGATTGCTTTTACACCCATATAGAATGTAAAAGCAGGGAGTGCGCACAAGCAGGTGCGGGGAGGCCGTTTATAAATGGCCACCCGACCCTGCAGTGCCACCGTCCGGCCGTTTATATGCAATGGCCGGTCGGGAAGTGGTTAAAAAAGATGTACAGCAAGGAGAGAGTGTTTTTTAATGTGATCTTAAAGCGGAGTTCCACTCAATAGTGGAAACTCCGCTTATTTGCCTCCTCTTCCCCTCCACTGACATAATTGGCACCTTTTTGGGGGGGGGGGGGGGGGGGGGGGAGAAGATACCTGCTTTTGACAGGTATCCGCTCCCACTTTTGGCTCAGTTTGCCGAGGCAAAGTGAGACAGAAATTCAGCCCCCTCCTACCTCCCACAGTCTCCTGGGAACTTTAAGGTTCCAGAAGATTGCCGGACCAATCAGGAGGTGCAGCGTGACTCGTGCATGCGCAGTGGGCACCAAGTTGTGAAGCTGCAAGCTGTCACAGCCTTGCGCCCACAGTTGAGATACTGGCGCCGTGGAGGAGAGGAGAGAAGGGACGGCACGGGTGATCACATCGCTGAGCTCTGGGACAGGTAAGTGTGTGTTTATTAAAAGTCAGCAGCTAAAGTTTTTGTAGCTGCTGACTTTTATATACTACTGGCAGGACAAGGCAGAGGGTGAAAAATCAACATCAGTAGCAGAACATTTCTATTAACCTCTTGTCGTCCACCTGCTGTTTATAAACGGCAGGGCGGTGGTAGTCCAGGGGCGGGTTGCCGTTCATAAACGGCACCCGCCTTTTCTAGCTGTGCGCGCTCCCTGGGAGCACGCACCACCGCGATCCGGTGCCCGCTGTGTCCTCCGGACACAGTGAAACACCGATCGTCGGACGGGACCTCTGTACGAGGTCCCGATCATGTGATCACTGATTGGCCAATCAGTGATCACATGCAAAGTAGTAAGCAAGATGTCACTTGTGACATAATTGCTTACTACGTGTGAAATCTGTGAATGATCACAGAGGTCACATGGTACAAGGCTATTCACAACAGCCTTGTACCATGTGACAAGCTGTGACCAATTACAGCTCACTCAGTAATTCTCAATGACTGCAAGAATGCAGACAGAGAGAAAGAGAAATGATTGCTTTTACATCCTATATGGGTGTAAAAGCAATCAGTGTAAAAAAAAAATCTTCCATCACCCCCCACAAGTAGTACAGTGTCACCATGGTGACACTGTACTGCTAGGGTGACAGTATGTAAAAAAAAAAAAAAAAAAAAAATAATAAAAAAAAATATAAAGGTAAAAAAAATGTTTAAAAATTATAATTTTTGGTTATAAACTAATTTGGATTTTTTTTTTTACTAAAAAAAATAATGGAATAAATTTTGGCCAAGATTTATGATGAAATAATATTTATTTGCAAAATTTTATTTAAAAAAAATTTTTTTTCAAAATTTTTGGACTTTTTCATTTACATAGTAAAAAAAATAAAAATCCCAGCGGTGATTAAATACCAGCAAAATAATGTTTTATCTATATCAAAAAAATGGTAAAAAATTCATATGGGTACAGTATTGCATGACCGCGCAATTGTCATTCAAAGTGTGATAGCGCTGAAAGCTAAAAATTGCCCTGGACAGGAAGGGGGTAAAAGTGTCCGGACAGGAAGTGGTTAAAACACAATGGAGACTGTCAGGACTCAAAGTAGTTGGAGTGGGTAAAGTCAAACCTAACCACAGAGGAGGGAACATCAAGATAACAAGATGTTGCTAGAAAAATAATCAAGATGAATATTTCTATTGGACACAGTGACACCTTCTGGTAATAATGAGGATCTTCACTTTACAGGATTTTATACAGTGTTCTCTTTTTCCTCCAATCCTGGGAGATGGTGACACTAATTTGTGCATTAGTGATGGGCCGAACACCACCCCGGTTTGGTTCGTGGCAGAAGGGTCAGCCGTACACCGGAGGATAGATGAATATAGTGTGTATTTATTGATCCATAGGACACACAAAACACCAGCACATGAATACAGGACCTGTATTCATGTCCTCATGTTTTGTGTGTCCTATGGATCAATAAATACACACTATATTCATCTATCCTCCGGTGTGCAGCTGACCCTTCTTCCTATTGCATCATGTGTGTTGGCGAGCCAGAGTCTGCATCTGTTGTGGATTGATCTGGATTGTTTGCTTGAGCGGTATACCTTTTGTTCTTTGGATTCGGTTTGTGGCAGAACTTCCAAATGGACCAAAAGTTCGCCGTGAACATCGGACCTAATGCAAGTCTACGGGACTCGAACTTGCAAATGCAAAAGTGCACATTTTCAAGGCTTATATACTAGTTATTGGCCATAAAAGTGGTATGGGGACTCAGGTACTGTCCTGAGGGACATGAATCAGTGACATTTTTCTTTCAAAAAGTAAAATTTTTAAAGGGGCAGTCATTTTTCATTGCTTAAAGTAAAAAAAAAATGTTTTTTCAAAACATTCCTTTAAATATCATGCTTGGGGGTGGGGGTTTGCTGAGGGAGTTCCCTTAAACTATCTGCAGATTTGCACATCTGTACAATGTATAGAACCTGCTGCAGCAGGACTGACATTTTTTTTTTTAAATGACAAGTTTATTAAAAAAAACAGTGTGGGGCTTGTTTTATTAATGTGTTTTTTTTTGCTTATATATTTTTTTTTAAATTATTATTCTTTATTTAGTTATTTTGTTTTTTTTCGAGGAGGGTATTCTCCCCTCTGTCTTATATAGTGTGGGGTAGATACTGTGCACTGTGAGAGCATAGTGCATTGTGGGGGTGTTGGTACTGCCTTCACACTGTAACCCTTCAGAGTTATTCTTGACGACTGCAAGATTGGACCTTGCTCTAAAAATTCTAATTATATGTACCTGTTATACAGTTGCAGACAAATTGGGCCTTGGGTGTTGGTGGTGCCTGAACACTATAACGCCTCAAAGTTAGTCTTGGTGTTCGCAGGCATAGGCCCTGCAGTTACAAATTGTTAACAATTACAGAAAAATTGTAAAAAAATTGAAATTACAGCTGAACTTGGGCCTTGGGTGTTGGTGGTGCCCTAAACCAAAAAAAATTGTTGGAAGCAAAATCAGGATTTAGAAATAGGATAGGCAGCATAGGCAGTCTTCAAAGGATCCCAGATCCCTAACAAATTGAATCAGTTACATGAGCATCAGGGGCAAGATAGTTGCTGTTGATTCAGGACAGATTCATTTTGATAAATGTCAGCTGGTCAACAGAGTCTGTGGATAGATACACTCTTTTATCCGTCATATTCAGCAGAACTGAATGTCTGTTTGGAAAGTACGCTGGATGCAGGACAAGCCAGTAGCTCGATGGTATATTGTCAGGGAGCGAGGAGCCAGACACACAAGGAGGTGCAATTAAAGGTAGGTTTATTATACAAAAACAAGACAGAGTCTATGCAAGTCCAACAGCAACAGTGGATGACTTGGTAGGACAGTAGCCAGGAGGGATGGTCACCAGAGCCGGGGTCAGAAGCCAGGAAGGATGATCGCCAGAGCCGGGGTCAGAAGCCAGGAAGGATGGTCACCAGAGCTGGGGTCAGAAGCCAGGAAGGATGGTCACCAGAGCCGGGGTCAGAAGCCAGGAAGGAGTCTTGCCAAAGTCGAGTCGGTATCCAGGAGAGCAATGAGACACTAAACAGGAGCTAGCTGCTGTGCAACAGACAGGACACGAAAGCAATGGACAGCTACAAACAGCAGACTTATATGTGATAAGCCGCCACCTCCTGGGGGAGGAGCCGCAGAGGGCTGAAAGCATAAAGGATCCCACAATGCTTTACAGACACCTAAGATGGATTCCAGCACATGGAGCAGCACAAGCCCTGAGGAAAGGTAGGACCTTGACATATATTGAGCAAGTTCTGGCCAGTGATCCATCTTTAAGACCCAGTAACCCAGTGGATGCTCAGTTGGAAAGGTCTCCAAGTCTGCTCTTGCCCCTAGATAATCCTGCACCATATGATGCAGACGCTGCTGATGGGTGCATAAACCTAACAGCTCTGGGCAGTGAGCACTAAATAACTGTTTAAAAGCAGCGGTCAGCCGTCCGCCTTCTCCACCGCTTTTCCTTTGACAGAACAAAGCCTCAGAAACATGTTGTCCAGGAAATGGTATCCTCCCATTGTCTGGAAAGGTGTTACACAAATTTTTTTTAAAGGCATCCTCAAGATTTTTCATCCCCTGCTTCCTCTGTGTAGACTGGATGGGCTCTGCAACTTTACCCTTGTAACGTGGATCAAGAAGGTTTGCCAACCAGTATTGATCCCTCCTTGATAACACAAATCCTTGGGTCCTTGTGCAGGCTTTGCAGAATCAGGGAGCCCATTCAGCATAAGTTTGAGGAGGCAGGAAATTCTAAGTCCTCTGGGTCATTGAGGATGACATTGTCAGAAACTACCTCCTCCCAGTCACATACTACTCCTGGCTGAGTTTCTGGGGACTGAAAACCACCCCTTGAAGACTGATGTATGTGATCCTTTACTTCCATGCTGCTGCTATCCTCCTCCTCCTCCTGTGTGTTCTGCAGCCTCACAGGAAGGGTTTCTGCATAAAGGGGGCCTTGAGAGGACAGGAAATCCTCCTCCTCCTCCTGCTGTTCTGCCTCAAGTGCTCTGTACATGATTCCACGCAGTGTGTGCTCCAGCAGGAAGACTAGAGGGCTAGTGTCACTGATGCATGCAGTGTTGCGGCTCACCATCCTTGCAGCCTCCTCAAATGGTGACAGGACAGTGCATGCATCTTATATCAGCAGCCACTGGTGTGGCAAAAAGAAGCTAAGCTCCTCTGAGCCTGTCCTTGTGCTATATTCACACAGGTACTCATTGCTGGCCCTCTGCTGCGATTGAAGCCGCTGTAGCATTGCCAAAGTTGAGTTCCACTGAGTGGGCATGTCACAAATGAGTCAGTTGGTGGGCAGGTTGAACGTAACATGTGTCAAGTTTCCCTGTCAGGGTGGAGAGGTGCCATTGTTGCATACAACCATTGCTAAAGCTGCCATGGGATCAACCACCTCTAAGCCTGCCCCTGCAGAGCTGACAGAATCTCTGACCCGGTGTGGCTGCTGTCACACCAGCTGAAACACCGAAGTACGGTCAGTGACC